AATCTGTTTAATATGCAATCTGATCATTTTCTGCTTTTCCACTGACTTTTTTCTTTTTGGTTCTTTTCTACCATCTGCTTTAAATATAAATGACAGTTTATCATTGTATGCTTAGATTTTTGCATACTTCATCCCTCTAGGGTACGTTTATTATCTGTTGGATTTATACTCTGAATTAAATTATTACTGTATGAGTGAGATTAGAGGAGTGGCTAGTTGCCCGCAGAGAATGACTGAGGCTTACAAACCACATATTGTTTATCCAACCAGTTGTTTTAAACCTCTTGCTTATCTATACACTATAATTATGGCAATCAAGCTGTAATGTACTTGGAGGAGGTTTTTTTTTTTCCTCTTGTTTCACATTCTCATGATCATAGTGTTATCTCATTTCCAATATTAACCTATTCCTGAGCTGTCACTCTTTAAACTTTTATAGCTTTTAGTTTTACTTGTGGACTGACAAACTTTCCACATATTATTTTAATTCTTCTTTTGGTATAAAATTTTCTTTGTTCTTAATAAACAAGAAATGCAAGTTCCTTACCAATAATGAGATTTTTAAAAAGGAGGGGAGATAAAAATTTTGCAGTTCTACCATAGAGAACCCCTACTGACAGTTTATACAGTGCCATAATTTCTAGTATGCCTATATATGAATAGTTAAAAAAATGTGACTAATTAGGACATAACCTCCTCAAACTTAACATTTTTCATTAGCATGTATCATAAACACATAATCTTATCCTAATATTACCTTAAAACATGATTTATATATATTGGGTACATTATAGAGGTACTCATCTGCTTCTGTTAAATATTTAATGTTTTCAATGCTGTGATAAACAGCTGTGAGGCTAAATCTTTCCTGATTTCCTTAATTAATCCTTAGAATATATCACTACAATATTTCCATATTAGACCTCTTATTTTCAAGTAATGGAAACCCACCTCATTTGAACAAAAAAGAGGAATGTATTGGAAGAACATCAGGAGTATCTTGAGCAACTAGGTACAAGGAAATAGAGCTGGAAATGTTCTCTGGGCTCCTGTATATACTTGTCTCTGTACTTCAGACTCATCACCTTCCTCTCAGGCCAGCAGTCTTCCTCTGCTTCATGCTACATGGATAAAAACACAACACAGACAGCAGTGAAGTTATATGTCACAGATTCAGCCAGTCTTAAAAAAACTAGATAAGGAAGCTGTGGTACATATACACCATGGAATATTACTCAGCCATTAAAAAGAATTCATTTGAATCAGTTCTAATCAGATGGATGAAACTGGAGCCCATTATACAGAGCGAAGTAAGCCAGAAAGATAAAGACCATACAGTATACTAACGCATATATATGGAATTTAGAAAGATGGTAATGATAACCCTATATGAGAAAAAGAGACACAGATGTACAGAACAGACTTTTGGACTCTGGGAGAAGGCGAGGGTGGGATATTCTGAGAGAATAGCATTGAAACAAGTATATTATCAAGGGTGAAACAGATCACCAGCCCAGGTTGGATGCATGAGACAAGTGCTCGGGCCTGGTGCACTGGGAAGACCCAGAGGGATGGGATGGAGAGGGAGGTGGGAGGGGGGATTGGGATGGGTAAATCCATGGCTGATTAATGTCAATGTATGACAAAAACCACTACAATATTGTAAAGTAATTAGCCTCCAACTAATAAAAATAAATGGAAAAAAAAAAAAAAACTAATTCAATCCCATTCCTTTCTCATTCTCCCCACCTTATTCACCATTCCAGATTTCTAGGATAAGCAGATGTTCACCTCAGCACTATCAATTTGGGTCAAAGGGTGCTTTTGTTGGTTGCCAGGAGTCACCCAATAGCCATATAAACGGTGGGGAGGAAAAGTGGGGCTGGGGAGACAATCTATACTACCTTCACATTCTCATCATTCGTCATACTCACTTTTTTATTTGGAGATATTCATGGTAATAAATTGGCATTGTTAGACCAGGAGAAGAATGTAAATTCTCTCTTTCTTTCTTTAATAATATCTTTCTCTAAGACTGAGCTCATTTTATCTGATGTTGGACAGCAACACCTCTACATGCTTTTCAACTGTACATCTACAAAAGAGATAGCATCCTCTACATTCTAGTTTGACTCAAATGCAAAATTACCTACTGTCAAAATCATAATAAGAAAATTCTAGTTTGCGATTAACATATGCACACTACTATATACAAAATAGATAAACAATAAGGATCTACTGTATAGTATAGGGAACTATATTCAGTATCTTCTAATAACCTACACAAATATATATTCAGTTGTACATGTATAATTGGATCACTTTGCTGTGTATCTGAAACTAACACAACATTATAAATCAACTATACTTCAGTTTTTAAAAAAGGATAAAAAAATTCTACAATGGAAAAAATTCTTAAAATTTGTCAACTCTTTTAGGTCTGAATGTTAAATCATGCTTCTTACATAATGAACTTCGTGGATATTATAAGAAAAGTACATCTAGTATTTAGGAATAGAACATTAAAATTTAAAGAGAAAACCCATGACCAACTTAAAGTAAATCTAAATTTTCTATGGACTTTCATTATACAATTAGAAAAAATGTTTCCACGGGAGAGTGAAATCTTCCAGTTGAGCATGTTGAAATCTTTTGGGGAGGAAGGGAATGATAGGATAGAAGGCCCCAGGCAAACAGAATTTTGCCAGGTATATGTTTTCTAGAAAGGCCTATAATATATATGTCTTGGATTGCTACATTTTGTCAGTTGTTTTAGTCTCTACTTTATCTATTGCCGAATAACAAATTACTCCCGAAATTTAGTGGCTGAAAACAGCAAGCGCTTATTATCCTACACAGTTCCCGACACTCAGGAATCTAGGAGAAGCTTAGCTGGTCGGTTCTGGCTCAGGCTCCCTCGTGAAGCTGCAGTTGAGCTGTCAGCAGAGGCTGCAGTCTTCTGAAGGCTTGACTTAACGGGGCGGGGGGGGATCTGCTTCTAAGCTCACTCGTGTGGTCCATTAGCAGGAGGCCTCATTTCCTCACTACAAGGTCCTCTCTGTAAGGGATCCTCATGACACAGCAGTTCATGTTCTCAAAGCAAATTACCTGAGAGCAAGAGAGCTGGTAGGGAGGGGGATATAGAAGCTGCACTGTCTTTTTGTGACTTAGCCTTGGAAATGACAAACCATCACTTCTGCCATATGCTATTGGTCATACAGAACAATCCTAACATAATATGGCAAGGGGTGGAATTATATGAATACCAGGAAGTGGGAATCACTGAGGATCATCTTGTAGGCTGCCTATCACATACACCATTCTCAGATCTTTAAAACTGCCCTCATAAATTGATTTATATTTATATCTCTAGATCTGATTCCCCTCTGTTTTTTCTTGGTACTCACAATAGTGGCACAAATCAACTGATCAATTGTAATTTTATTGTTTGCACATGGAGGCTTTCTTCAAATAGCCCTGAAGCTTAGAGCTTTGGTTTCTTACATTTTTACCAATGATATAAATTCTGAATTATGCATATTATACTTATTTTAAAAAACAGGTTGATTAAATGTCTCTATTTAGGCTATTATTCTAATAGCTATTTATGAGACTATTAATTCAACAAATTATTGAGGTCAGAGCATTGGTTTTTTTTTTTATTATTCTAATATGTCACCCTGTGTTCTTGCTTCCTCTTTTAAAACAGTTTATTGAGATATATTTCACATATCATCCAATTCACTCAATTAAAGAATAAAGTCCTCTACTTTTTTTTTTTTTTGGCAGAACAGCTTGCAAGATCATAGTTCCCACACCAGGGACTGAACACAAGCCTGGTGCAGTGGAAGCTCAGAGTCCTAACCACTGGACCGCCAAGGAATTCCCCAAAGTCCCCTACTTTTAAACTATATTTTTGAGAACAAGTGGCTTAACAGTATCTAAAATTGGGCAGTCTAAGATATTTGGCCACTACCTACATACTTAAATAAGAAGGTCCACCTGTAAGACTCTGTGGACACATCATCTTCTACTAGAGCAAATGGGAAGAACAGAGGTCTTACGTATTCTTCCTGCGACTGTGCTGCAGAACTCTGGAGATGTGGAGGGGTGTTAACGGTGCAGCAAATAGGACCAAACACATAACCTCAGTGGCCCGAAGACCTGTTTACCGGGACAAGTCCTCCAATCACAGGTCTATCGTTTCTGCCAAAGAACAGGTAAACAAACCAAGTCCCAAGTGACTATAAAAGACTGTGCTTACCAGATTATCAGCACACACCCAAATGCTGCTGCTCCAGATAACCTGATCTTAATGAATGGAAATTATGTCCTAACTAGTGATATTTCAAAAAGTAAGACAAGTTTTCACATGCCCTTCAAAAACTGTCGCATAAGCATAAGACAATGTAGGTGTTGATCTGAACTGAAATGTAGCATATCATTTTTGGTTTCCCTCCTCTGGAATAATTTTTAATTATTAAAAAAATTTTACAACTTGTACATGTACATTGCTGGGAAAAAAACAGAAAATACTCAAAAGCAAAAGTACAAAAAGAATTTGTAAGCACCCTTAATCCTATTATTCAGAGATAGCCTGTGCTGCTTTGCTTTATATTGTTTCAAAACAACAAATTTGGGGGAGCATATATTTATAAAATTTTAACTGCCAGCTTTAACAATCTGGGCTTGAGTTAATATCTAATACTCTGATTATTTCTAGTAGTTGTGCACTTGGCCTGCTCTGATCTCCAGGAGGAACCCATCACCGTTTTTCTGCCCCGCTCTGGCTCCCTTGAGTCCATGTTCACTGACTATAATGGCCCTGAAGGAGCCTCACCATCACCATTGCTAATGGTACCCTTGCCTCTGTGAAGGGACCTTCCATCTCACTGTGCTTAGAAGGCTGCCAAGTGTCTCATGGACCTCAAAGCAGCACTGGTATGTGCCATGACTCTAGAGAAAACAGCTCCTTCAGCTTCTCAGATCTCAACTCTAACCTGTCAGCAAGACTGCAAACAAATACACATACTTATCCTCATCTGTAAGAGCAAGTGACATTTTTAGGACAATGGGATCTCAGGCCAAATATATAAAACAAAATAGTTCTCTCAAACAGAGTAATACCTGTCATACACTTAGCACTGTATGCATGTAAGTGAAGAACACAGCTTTCCCATGTAGGCAGCCCACTATCTGAACCTCTATATACCAAAACATTCAAGCTGGAGGGGCTCACCATCTCAAACACCTTCCATTCTGATGTGAAATCAGTTTAACACTTATATAGCTAAATGACCTATTTAGGATTATCAGATCAAAGAAACAGCCTGCCCTAAAAGTAGATTCAGCACTGTAAAACAAACATGATAAAACCCAGCTCACCTCATTGATAGTTTTATAAGGTTTTCATCTCAATCCAGGTTTCAGTTGGCCAGATTTCATAAAGATATGAGTTCAAGGTTCTTGTTCCTTGATTAGCAATCTCAACTCCTACGACAGTTCCTCTGAGGAGGGTCTTAATTATGTATGTGGGTGGCAATGATGGTGGTGGTGAGGGGGTGTTATTTTCCTGCTTTGAGCATATCATATGTATACTTTTAAGTTGTTGTGATGAGAATATATTAGCACATTGGTTACGTAATTTAGAAAAAATACTGCCAATATCACCACCAACAAAACAAAAGTAGAAACCTGGCCACAAATACATTGAAGAATTCACAGTGGAGCTCATGGGATATCTATTTCTAGCTCACTGTTATGTAATCATGATGGCAGCATCACTGTTGTTGGTCTCATGGCAGCATGGTCCAATAGAAAGACTAGTTCAGGAGTCAGTGAACAACTCTGTGATCCTAGAGCATACCATTCAACCCCCCAGTTTCCTTATCCATCCTGTGTTATAAGGAATGCTCACATCTCCTGGAACTCCACCATTCTAGAGCATGTAGGACACTTGAATGGTCTGGTTGTAAGAAATGTTCACCTTTTCTTCTTTCTCCAAACTTGACCTTTTTGATTTCTCTTTTACTATGTTGAGGGAAAATTTCAATGTCTATATATATATATATATATATATATATATATTTTTTTTTTTTTTTTAAGATTTCCTTTCTCCTTCTATAGGGTTCTGCCAGAGTCCCATGGTCACTGTGCAGTCCATACATCTAGTGGTAAACCCTTGGTCTTTGACACCAAGCACTTGAACATGTTTATTGTCCAATTCCACAAGGTCTTGAATAGGAGGCACCTCAGTTTCTTTTAACTGAGTTTGACTACAAGGATCGTTTAGCAACCCTCTGAGATAGTTCTCTTAAAATGTATTGCCACCTCTCCTATGACAAGACTGTCATATCTCCTATACCGGTCACTTATCCGTTTGCTTTCAGCTCTGTTCCTGCTGCTACTCTTTGCTCTTATAATATTCTAGAGAGCTGAAAGTCTGCAGGTTACACTTCCTAGGGTCCCTTGCCAGTAGGGTTCTGACTGGGGTTGCCAGTGGGAGGCACTGACAGGATACTGGGATTCAGGAAGTGAGGAAAAGGAAATCGTTCTGTGACTTCCAGTTTCTGACAGTCTCAGGCAGCGATGATGGTAATTATTGCGGTGACAGTGTTGCCCAAGTTCCATTCCTGGTTGGGGTGGCATGTCAGCAGCAGATCCAGAGCTGACTGCAACAGAGTCTCTATCAGCATGGTGACAGGTACAGGCTTTGAACCCCAACCCAGGGGTGCTGGCAATTTCTAGTCTTTGGATACTACCCTTCTTGCTCGTAATCCTCCTCCTCCCTCCTTCCCTATTTCTCTCTTTTATTACTTTTATAACCAATTGGATTAAATTTCCTCTAACTGGAATATCTAACTTGGGTTTTATTTTCTTCAGAAGCCCCATCTTTTCCCTACCCAGTATCCTTGAGCCACCCTATCGCATGATATGGCTACCTCTTGTGGGACTCTGGGCAAGAGTAAGATGTTGTCCCTGCTAGTCTCAGATCCTATCAAACCCCAGTTAGTTAAAATTCCTTGGGTTGTAAATGACAGAAGCTCCACTGAGGAAACAAGATTAATTGGAAAATTTATTGTAAATGTGAGCCATGGAATCTTAGTGCTGAGATGGGTCTATGCCTCCAAAGCCATGGATGAAAGCGTTGTAGGTAACTATCAGTTAGCTAACGCTGTATCGCAAACAAAGACTTAGTGGCTTCTAATAATCATTTCTTATTTTTCATGAAGTCTGTGGGTTGGTTGGGTTGTTCTGTTCATTTAGGCTGGGCTTGCATGATCCCAGCTGGGTTTCTTCATGTCTGTTTGGTCAGTTTGTGTATCCCATAGGGACTGGCTTCTTAGAAAGACCTTGGATGGGATACCATGGCTGCGTTCCTTATCCTTCCAGCAAGATAGCCAAGCATGTTCTCAGGGAGTGGATAGATCAAAGAGAAAAAGTGTAAACATGAAAGACTTCTTGTAATCTAGGCTTGAAACTAGTACTCTGTTACTTTCTCCAAGTCACAAGGCCAGCCCAGATTCAAGAGATGAGATAGTAGGCTGTGCCTTTTGATGGGAAGAGCTGTAAAGTCATATGGGGAAGGGAGTGGCACAAGGGAAGGAGAGTTAAGAATTCGAGTCAGTTTTGCAATCAACCCACTCTAGTAACCCCAGGAAGTCATCTCTGCTTTTCTGTGAAGGTTTACTTTATTTTTCATTCCCACATCAGTTTTTTCTCTCAGCTTGTCCGTATGGTAGAAAATGACTCTTGTTACCACCTTCCTCGTTTTGTGTTCACTATTCAAGAAGATAACCAGGCTAAAACATGAACCTCAATCAACACTATACATCCTGGAAAAGATCACAGTGGCTCATCTTGAGTCAGGTTTCACCCACTGTTCAGTAAATTTTAGTCTAGAAGACAGAGTCAGTTGGTGCTCCCACTATAGCCGTGTGGATGGAAGGATTGTAGATAGTAGTTATTATATAAGAAAGCAGCAACCTAAATATTATTTAAATGAGCCACAAAACATAAATGGTCCAAAGACATCTTCAGTTTTATTTTTAAGAGAAATATCTTTTTGCAGGTATGACTTGTGAAATGAACAAAGGAGGAAGACAGGTTTGTTGGGAGATCAAGAACATGGGTTCTAGAGTAAGATTGCCTGGGTAGATATTTCCCATCTGCCACAGTCTAGCTGTGTGATATACTATACATACAACAGTGTCCACACGTAGTAAATGCTTAATAAATGCTAGCTATTGATATTCTTACTACTACTAAAGAAAAAGTGTCGAACATTGAGGATAAAAATTCAGCAGCATAGCACTTGCAATTTCTATTAAGCCTCTGTGTCAGGTACATTTGTTAGGTGCTGTTAGAGATCCCTAGTTTGAAGTTAACTTATATTCATCACAGGGCATCCTCACTGGAAATTCCAGATTTGTGTTTACCATTCTGATGATCAGTCATCTTTTCAAGGCCGTCTTTCTGGTTTTTGTGTATACTTATCAAAGACAGAGTTAAGTCAAAACTCTCTGACTGAACAGAATCAAAGGTCAAAATGTCAGTGATGAAATTGTGAACCCATCAGAAGAATGGGCACCGGAGAATGACTCTGATTTGAGGCTATAGTAAGTCAGAAAAGCAAGTAGTAGTTTTGAAGAAAAAAAAATTAATCTTCACATAATTTTCCCTCAATACATACATAAAGCCCAGAAATCTAGAAGTGTTAGTGCTCATATATCTAATAGTCCAGGCAAAAAGGAAAAGAAAAACATTTAAATATTGAAAGATTTAACATGGATAATATAAATCATACTATGTAGAGTGCAAGTAAATAGGAATTTCAGTTCAGTTCAGTTCAGTTGCTCAGTTGTGTCCAACTCTTTGTGACCCCATGAATCACAGCATGCCCGGCCTCTCTGTCCATCACCAACTCCCGGAGTTTACTCAAACTCATGTCCACCGAGTCAGTGATGCCATCCAGCCATCTCATCCTCTGTAGTCCTCTTCTCCTCCTGCCCTCAGTCCCTCCCAGCATCAGGGTCTCTTCCAATGAGTCAACTCTTCACATGATGTGGCCAAAGTACTGGAGTTTCAGGGGACATCAAATCCACACCTTATTTCAGTAAAAATAGGGAGAGTTATTTGTCTCTTTTAATTTTTATTTATTTTTCATTTAATTTTTAATGTAGCATAATTTTTTGAAGATTAGATTGCAAGCAGTGAATCAGTTTAAAAGTATGTGTAAGATGTTATGAAAATGTATGAAAATAGCTTCTGTTTTATTTGCCACACCTACATTCTTCGTGCATATTCACATAGGAAGCAGCTAAGACTGAAAGCAACCGACTCTTTTATAATCTTATCAAAAATAGAAGCTAATAGTTGTAATGACTCACTTGTTTCCTTCTGTTTTCAATCCTTATCTTGAGACCACAGATTGCATTACAGTTTGTAAGTAATTGTACATCTTTTGTGAAGCACCTTGAAATGTTCTGGCATGACAATGACCTGGCCGTGTTTTAGAATTCCCAAACAAAGCTAAATTTTATGACTGAGTCCTGTCCCTTTAAAGTAACACTTCAAATTATTTTGAGAAATTGCAGCAAGACACTCAAGAAAAGATCAGAGCTGAGCTCTTAATAAATAAAATAAATCAATTTATATGAGGTTTCTTTAGAGTAAAAACTATGTAATTATTTTCTTCACTCATAAAATATAAATCAGCATATGTCATTGTAAATTCTAGGTAACATGATGTTTAGAGACTTTTTTTCTCCTCTATTGTCCTTGATTCCAATTTTAATTTTTTCTGCAGAATTACATTTGAAGAGTTTAAAAACTATGAATAATGTTAGTTTGGTTGAGAGTCCGACTGATATTAAAGAAATTCTTCTGACAGAAGCTAGGCACAACTCAAAGTTAAAATATGTGGTGTGGAGTGTGAAAGAGACTATTTGTTATTCCCCTAAGTCCATTTTTCATTTATTCTCTATTAAAAAAGCCTCTGGTTATGTGCCATTAGGGCACATGACTGCCCCAAATCAAGACTGCATTTCTTACCCTCCCTT